GGGAGGGAGGGAGGGAGGGAGGGAGGGAGGGAGGAAGGAAGGAAGGAAGGAAGGAAGGAAGGAAGGAAGGAAGGAAGGAAGGAAGGAAGGAAGGAAGGAAGGAAAGAAAGAAAGGGAAATGCATATTATATTTTTCCATTGTAGTATCAGGGAAGGTTACTCTTTCACTAGATCTACTAAATCTCTGTTTTTTTTAAAATTTCTCTCATACAGGAATGACTTGCCAGGCTCGCAGTTCCTACATGGACACAGAAGTGCTTTGGGGGCATCGTTTCACCCCTGTCCTTACCTTAGAGAAGGACTTTTATGAGGTTGACTACAACAGTTTTCATAGTACCTATGAAACCAATACACCTTCTTGCTGTGCCAAAGAACTGGCTGAGTCTTTCAAGGAAGGACGGCTTCTCAGCCACCTATCTACCATGAACCTCCTGAACGGAGAGGAAACTGAGGAAGCAGAAGAGGAGAAAGAACAGCAGGAAGGGATGGAGAAAGATGACAACAGGAATGAAGGCCTAGAGGCAATTGAACTGAATGGAAACAATGGAACAGCAGGCGAGATGAAGGAGAGCCTGTTTTTAAAACATTGAGACTTGAGAATGATAGAAAATTCAGATTCCCTCACCACTGAGGAGGTAGAAGAAGACATGGGACAACCAGAGGATAATATTCTCACTCACATGGATATTATTGGATTGCGCTGTACCCCTCCATATAATCTGAGTTTCTCCAACTCCATTCTGGAGATTAACTATAAGGATTTTACTTACTGTTTTGAGAACACGTGAAAACTAACCAGCTTAAGGAGATGTAATGGCACTGTAGATGGTCACATATCTTGAAGCTCGTTGGCTTTTCTTTTTCTTGCAATGTGTCTCTTCTGCACATTTTTTAAAGGAGGTAGGGCGATTTGATGGAACAAATGTAGTTAGGAGAGTTTTTTTTCCCCTTCCTTGATTTATTGGAAATGCTAACTGATGAATAAAAAGAGGGAAAGGATAATGGGGGTCGGGAACAGGCCAAATTGGCCAAATTGTGTGTTGTATCTTTCTCTGTGATGGGATATAGATGTGATTAGTTATCTTTGAGGGTTCTGTCTACTGTGAATTCAGCTAAAATATGAAAGAATATCGTTTAGTGGAGGAAAGGAACTCATTTTCTGAAGCGTTAGGAGTTTGGTTTGCCTGTTATGGTTTTTGTGAGAGTAGTTAAACAAGGACAATTCATATAGTAGCTTTAAATGAATAAGGAACTCAACTGGCTTTTGGATTATCTAAAGGACATTTTAAAGCAGGGTTGTTGTTGTTTTTTACTTCTTAGATTTATATCCTGCCTTAACCCCAGGTATTCAAGCTACCATCCACAATATGTCCTCCTTCAACAATTCCACAGACACTTTCACCTACCTTCTGAGTTGCCTTATGAGAAACAGAGATCGGTTCCAAACTCACAAAAATCACTGAAGCTGGACTTGAACCACAAAATGAAGGTTTAAATGTTCGCATGAAGTCTAGTCTATCGAGTCTAGTTTTCAAGGTTTATATTTTATTATATTAATTATAATGTCAACACGATTAAATATAATTAAGGTTAGGTTTATTCATCATATCTACAGTGCATTGGCTAGATTGTCACTGCATCCGTAAGAGGAAGAGGGCAGTTGTCTTAGGAAAGCATAAGGTTGATATAAGACCTTTCCCCAATTAATCAATTTATTTTTGTATAATCAGACCTTAGCCAATTATTGGCGGCCCGATAGGAAAGATCTGAAATGGTGGGAACTGTAAGACAAGAATAAAAAGGCGAAAGACCTGATCAGCAGCACACACATTGCACCATCTGTTTCTCAAATGCTGTTTAAAAAAATCTCCAACTGCATTGATGCACTTTCTTCCTTGCATTGTCAATAGTCCCATGTGGCACATGGTCCTTTTACTGCAAAGGCTTTGAAGTGGGGAGAACTTCCTTGCAGTTTCTTTGTAAAAAATAATAAAGACTGAAGTGGACTTTGAACTTGTGTGTCTTAGCAAATTCGTCATACTGTCTGCAACATTCTTCTGGTGCCTCCTATGACATAGATTTTGTGGCCTTTTCTCAAATCCCAGTATTCACATTATTCACATTATTATCTAGAGGCATCTAGTATCATATTTCCTTTGAACAAAATGACACCATCATTTTCAAACAAGACAGAACCGTATGGATAGACACGGCTGCAGAGGTGGTATTCAGCAGGTTCTGACCAGTTCTGGAGACCCAGTAGCGGAAATTTTGAGTAGTAGAACTGGAAAATACCACACCCTGCCTCCATCTCTTCTCTGCCTTCCGAGTCCCAGCTGATCAGCTGGGTCATCTTTGGTTGCCCTGCACAGGAGAAGGGAGCTGGAAAGCAGGTTAGTGGGGTGGGGAGGGAATGGGGATTTTGCAGTATCCTTCCCTTGCCACGCCCACCAAGTCACACCCACTAAGCCATGCCCACATAACCAGTAGTAAAAAAATTTTGAATTCCACCACTGTGCAGCTGGTAGTTTTAGGAATAAGAGGCCGAGAAAGCTGAATGAAATTTCACCCACTAAGAACTTTCTCACACCCTTTCTCACACCCTCAGCCAATGAGTTTCCAGAAAATTCACAATACATATTTTTATCCATGTTTTGATTCTGAATGTTACTGCTAAGTGTGCCATCAAGAATAAAGAGAAGCAGACTGTGTTCATCCAGATGCAGCTTGTATATTCACACATTTATTTCCCCTTTTTCTTCCCACCCTTCTGCTTCCACCTTGTCATATTGCCCTCGGTCGGCTCCAATCAAATTCCGTTGTTTTTCTCTTCCTTTGTTTGACATTCAACCCACACAAATGGAATCCAGAATCTGTCTGTAATCTTGAAGTGACAACAGATAGTCGGTGAAAGGGAATATTATTAAACGTTCTGTAAAAAATATCTCTGGCAGAATTGACTCTCATTTGTTCCTACACATTTTTTTTTTCCTCTTGCAAAGATTATTGCTTTGGAGCGGGCGGGGGGATATGACATGAAACCTGGCCATTATGATAAAGTATGGTCCTAGCATAGCATTAGTTACAGAAGCCCCAAGGTGCTTCCTGGTTGACAGGATAAGCCAGTGGCATCACTGTTGACCAGGGGATGCCCATCTGGGAATTCCTTTCAGATCCCTAGCAGGAGCTGGAGTGAGGAATGGGAGCTCAACCCTGCCCCATGGCAGCACTTGGGTCTCGAACGTGGGCTGCATGTCAGCCTAGCATCCTACCACATGAGCCACTGTAAGCCTCAGCACTATCCTAAAAACGCTTAATTCCTTGTGAGTTTCATAAGACTTTGGCATAGGGAGATTCTCAGCCTTATCTCAGTCTCCTCCAAGCTTGTGTTCTATGATGCTTTGATCTACAATTTGATAATCTCCTGGTAACATGGACTGTATGAACCTATAACAAGGGCATCAGTGCCATTCACAGCTGTTTTTGAAACACTGTTGGGGTACATGTGTCTGTGAACTTTCTCACATCCAAAATGCAAATCACAGTTAATGTTGTTTCTTTTTTTTTCCTTTTGTAGTTCCACTCCCCTGCACAACCCCTCCTCAATAATATATAGAATTAAACAATTTAAAACAGAGGTCTCCAAACTTGGCAATTTTAAGACTTGTGGCTTTCAACTTTCACTGGCTCCAGTTGTCTTTTTTCCTCTAGCTAACCCTGTCTGTCATAATTTACAACATTGGGGATAATCTCATCTCCTACAGAACCACCCACTGCAGAATGTTATCGGCATTCTACTGATGGTGTCATCGGGTTTTAAATTTTTTACAATAGCCATCCTGATGTTTTGAGATACTAAAAATTTTTTACAAGCCATCCTGATGGTTTGAGATACTGAAACTTTCATTTCAAGATGCGAAGATTTTAAGTCTTTGCATTGGGAGGCACTGAAAAATGGTTCAACCAGCTTCATACTTATGCCTTTTTCTACAGAATGGGACAATCCAGTCTTAATATGAAGATATATTTGCTTTGATAAGCAAATGCCTTGGTAAGACCACACTTGGAATCAGGGGTGGGATTCAAATTTTTTAACAACTGATTTTGTGGGTGTGGCTTAGGTGGTGGGCATGGCTTGGTGGACCTGTGACTGGGTGGACATGGCTTGATGGTCATGTTATTGGCTGGGTATGGCCAACTCAATATCACTCACTTCGAGGCATGCATCTCCTCGCCTGGCCTCTCATGACTGTGGGGATGCTGCAACAGTCGTAAGTGTGAAAAATGTTCATAAGTCACTTTTTTCAGGGCCATTGTAACTTTGAAGGGTCACTCCACACAAGCAAAGTACCAGCAAAGGAGAGGAAGACAACTCCAGAGAAGTTCCTGAGACAGGAAGCCTAGTCCTGCCAAGAATGTAATAAGGGTTAATGGAGAGGCAGTTTCTGTAAGCAACACCAGAATGTTTCCTTCCTGCCTTCCTTACAGGATTAGGACAGTAATTTCTTCTAACAACCAGTTCTCCAAACTGCTTAGAAGGTTAACAACCGGTTCTAGCGAATAGGTGCGAACTGGTAGAATCCCACCCCTGCTTGGAATATAACATTCAGTTTTGCTCAGCATGATATAAAAAAGATGTTTAGATTAGAAAAAGTGCAGAGAAGAGCAAGAAGGATGATTAGGGGACTGGAGGCTAAAATATACGATGAACGCTTGCTGGAACTCGGTATGTCTAGTTTAATGAAAAGAAGGACTAGGGGTGGCATAATTGCAGCATTCCAATATCTAAAGGGCTGCCCCAAAGAAGAGGGAGTCAATCTATTCTCCAAAGGACCCAAGGGTAGGACAAGAAACAATGGATGGAAACTAATCAAGGAGAGAACCAACCTAGAACTAAAGAGAAATTTCCTGACAGTTGGAACAATTAATCAGTGAAACAACTTGCCTCCAGAACTTGTGGGTGCTCCAACACCGGAGGTTTTTAAGAAGAGATTAAACAAGCATTTGTCTGAAATGGTATAGGGTTTCCTGCTTGAGCAGAGGGTTGGACTAGAAGACCTCCAAGGTCCCTTCCAACTCTGTTGGCCTGTTATTCTGTTATAGCTAATTCTAAATTCAGAATGTCCTTCTTGCTTCCTCGGATATTATACTTCTCACTGCTTCTTATCACTCATGTATTATTTAGCATTTTCATTAGCAACTACAGAGCCGAGACTACAGCAAATGTTCTGGGGGGAAAAAGGAACATCCTATGAGAAGCTTCCTGTGCTTCGTTGCTGGTGGAATCTGGAGCCAACAGGACGGCACAAGACGACACGTTGTCAGAAGAGACAAAAGCCATAGCTTGTCATGTGGTTGGGAGGTTAACTTAATTAAGAAGCAAGGAAAATTGAAAAGCTTTCAAGCTATTTATAACAGCATCTCCACTGCCTGAAATCAAGGCCATATGAAAGAGAACGGAAGTGTAGGAGCTGGGCTGTCCTTGCCTCTTTGCAGGACACTTTGCAAGCAAAGTGAAACAAGCATAAGCTCATTCAAAACAGAATACAGATACAGATTAACAGAGTTGGAAGGGACCTTGTAGATCATC